AAACTGCAAGGGACGGGGAGCGGTGGCTCGCTGCGGCAGGGAGGTAAACATCAACATCATCAGGCTGCTAAAATACCTGTGGTTAGCTCTGTGGGCTGCAGCACCGGCTCCAGCCGGCGTGGTGACACCCGGTAAGGCACCACCGCAGCATCTCACACCCCTTCCTCTCCTCGCATGGGCTGGGAAGTAAAGACACCCTCAGGCACGTTCACGGGGTGGGGGGGAGTTGGTCACCTCGAGGTGGCTGGGTACAGGCTGGAGACCCTCTGGTGTGGAGTCCTCTTCACTACTGGAGAATCATAGAGTGGTTCTGTTGGAAGGGACCTTAAAGATTGAGCTCCAATGCCCCTGTCATGGGCAGGGACACCTCCCATTAGACCAGGTTGCTCAAAGCCCCATCCAGCCTGGCCTTGAACACCTCCAGGGATGGGGCAGCCACAGCTTCTCTGGGTAAAAGCCCCCCGATGACCAGTGTTAGGCAGATCAAAAGTCCCGAATAGGGGAGTAGCCCCAAGGGCCAGACATCCCCTTTCCACAGGCACCATGGGACCCTCACACAGCCTTGCTTCCACTCCAGGTCACCTCTGAGGAGCTCTCAGTGCCTGTGGGAGGGTCAGGGCTGGGACATGCTGAGCATCAGGGCAACCGGCCAAACCCCACCATGAGCCAGCAGGCCAGGGGGAAGGAGAGGGTGGACTCCTAAAGCTTCTGTGGTGGGTTGGTATGGAGCTGGCTGACCTCTCCAGATGAAGATTTGTCTCTTCAGCCCAGGCAACCACCTTGGGCGGTCCTCTAACGTGGTCAGTGACTGGTTTCCAGTTCTGGCAGTGGACTTTTTCCAGCCAGGCTGCTCTTCTCCCTGGGCTCAGCGCTCACCACCCACCAGCCCCATTCCTGCCCTGGTGCAGAGGAGGGTGGAGGGGGCTGAAGCACCCACGAAGGGGTGAGGATGGAGGGCAGCCTCATAACTTTGCTGGAAGGGGAAGGGCAGGGTGAGCTCACAGCTTCCCAGACACCAGAGGAACCACAGGGAGAAGGATGTGTTTTGCAAACGGCGGCCACAAGAAAAGCTTTGGCTGGAGAACCTGATGGAGCAGAGCCCGGAGAGCCCACCATGGAGCTGCTCTGCTGGCCCCCTTGGAAGGAGCTGCTTCCACGAGCACCAGCTGGGCTGGTTTTAGAAAAAGGAGGGATGAGAAGCAGCTTTCTGGGTCACAGAGTCCCAGGGTCTGCTAACACAGGCCACATGTCACCCTGCTCCCCGGTTCTGCCCTGGGCAGGGGAACGGGCTGGTCCCAGCCTGGCTCAGAAATCGCCCTAGAAGAGGCCACTGCATGGGACCTGCTGAAGATGGAGGTGGCAACAAGGCAGTAGGTGCTGGAAGGGGAAAAGAAACTCCCTCCCGGAGCCCCCACAGCCATCCAGGGCAGGCGAGCGGTACCCGGAGGGGATGCCAGGCGTGGGAAGGGAGGAGGGATGTCACCAGGAAGCAGCTGAAGATGCAGGCTCTGGGGAAACTGGAGCAGCTCCAGCATTCCCCAAGCACGGGTTTGTTGGCAGGACCGTCAGACCGAACAACCAACAGGAACGGGGCAGGAGGAAAAAACACCCCCAAAAGAGAATCCAGGGGGTTGCAGCGGCAGCAGCCCCCAGGGAAGGAGCCAGGAGGTGCCGTGGCGGCGGTGGCGGGTGGGAAGCGAAGGGGAAAGCAAGCACCTACCTGAAGCTCAAAAGCAGAGCGTGCCGGGCTCTCCTGGCAGACCTGCATCCAGAGCAAACCGCCTCCCTGCCGGGCATGGATTCAGCGGGCGGCTGGGAGGCCGTGGCTGGGAATTGGCTTAGGGACCTGGCCGCGGCTGCCGCGCTTCTCGGCTCGCTGAGCTCCCCGACGTTAATCTCGGCCCAGCTTTTTTTCCTCTTTTTTTTTTTTTTTTTTATCCCCTGGTACAACCTCCATACATTTTTTCAATTAGGTCCATCTTTTAAGCTCCGGAGAGCATTTCTAGGAAGGGCTGCGCTGTTTTCTCTCTTGGCCCTGGTGGGCTGATGCTGCGCAGAGCGGGACATCCCTGGCACCGATCCTGCCCGCATCCAAGCTTAAAGTGCTGCCACGCTGCAGCCGGCGCGGCGCTGCCCGGAAGCACTCAAGGAGTTACCCGTTACCCCCCAGCCCACCTACCGGGTGGCTTTTTTGTTTTTTTCTCCTAAGAGCAGCATTCCCTGCCTTCTCCCTCATCGCAGCTCCGGCGGATTGCAAAGGGCCACGCTCACCACACAGGAGCACGGACCGATGTCACCTTTCCCACTGGTCCCTGGATCGGGGAGCATCCGATCCTCTCCGAATCCACCTCCTGTCACAGGGTGAGGGCTGAAAACCAAAGGGAAATCTGCCACCGAGGGTGTACTTTGGGATGAGAAGGTTGGGTGAAAGTGTGGTCTAAGAGTGACAGTAAAAAAAAAAATATATATATAAAACGACCAAGAAATAAATCGATAAAGCTCCTCAGCGGACATTTTGGCACAGTGAAATCACTGCCCGCTGCGGGAGGGCGATGGGGAAAGCAAACGAGGAATTTGCAGGGCAGGAGCACGATGGGTCGAGATATTTAACTTGAATCAGGAGTAACGGAGCCCGGGCAGGGTGGGAAGGAAGGAGATTGCCCAGGCCGGTCAGGACCAGGTCCCTCCAGCTCCTACAGGCAAGGGTGGGCGACCCAGGTCCCGCTCCAGGAGCTGAATTAAAACCCAAAGCAGAGGCACAGCTCACAAATGCAGGCTGAGAGCATTTCCCCTTGAGGCCACTTTCCAAGCTGCAGTCAACCGCAAGTTCCACCCCGCTAACAGCCTCCTCCATTAGCATTGGCAGGCTCTTTCCATGTGGGCAATGCCCTCCACCCCAGCATCTCTCCAGACCTTTCACAAATAGCAGCAGAGTGCAGCGATTAGGCCTGGAGCCAGGGAGCAAAGAGACCCGGGCTTTGCTTCCTGCATCTGTCACTGTCACCTCTCCCCGGCGCGTATCTCGGCCGAATTCTCCAGGGCAGGGGGTCACCTCTCACGGTGCGTCTCCACGCAGAGCAGGGCTGGGCTCTGCACATCTGTCTGCCTCCGGCTCCAGCTGTGCCAGGGGAAGAGGTTGTGGCACCTCCGTCCTGCCAGCCCCAACCCCTCCTCTGCTTCCCATGCCAGCTCTAATGAGCCGAAACAGGTTAGGCGGGAGGTCCGTGCTCCTTTTCACGCTGACACAGGCTGAGGGAACATCCCCTGAGTATCTCAGCCAGCAGATGGGAAGGGGGAAGAACTCCAGCAGCAGACTGCTTCACCGGCTGAGCGAAGAAAAAAAGACCCCAAAGCCCTCATATACACACAGAGCAACGAGCTCAGGGAGAACACGGCACCGGCACGTTCCCCAGGAACGGTTATTCCACTTGTGAGCGTGAAAAACTGATCAAAAGACACCCCTTGGCTCTTGTCACCCATCTGCTCTTCCCACTCGTGACACCACACAAGCCAGGAGGAGCAGAGACCGTTCCCCGACACACACCTGCCCCAACCAGCCGATTCTCCAAGGAATTTTAAGGCAAAAATGAACTCCCAAACTCTCTGCTCCCTTCTGGGTTTCTCAAGCTGGATCTGCACATGGAGCTTTTGACCACAGCTGGAGGTGCCCTGGGCCATCAGCTGGTGGCACATCTGGGGACACACCTCGTGGCTGCCTCGGTCTCAGGTCACTCTGGTCATTAATTTCAAACCAAACAGGAGCTTGAAGCAAGACACGCTCAAGGCTCTTCCTGAACTCCCAAACTCTCTGCTCCCTTCTGGGTTTCTCAAGCTGGATCTGCACATGGAGCTTTTGACCACAGCTGGAGGTGCCCTGGGCCATCAGCTGGTGGCACATCTGGGGACACACCTCGTGGCTGCCTCGGTCTCAGGTCACTCTGGTCATTAATTTCAAACCAAACAGGAGCTTGAAGCAAGACACGCTCAAGGCTCTTCCTCCTCCTCCTTGTGATTAAAGGATTCCAGGTGAGCACTCACATGGATCCAGCAAAGAGAAGCATGACTTCTCCCACCCAGAAACCCAAGCACTCTGGACCAGTATTTTCAGATACTTGCTGGGTCTGTTTATTACCATTTTGAAATATTAGGGTTGCGACTGGAGAAGAGAACCCCACATGGGAATAATTTGGCACTTCCATGTGCTTGAGATCCTACAGATGAGGGTAAAGAGCTGGGAGTTAAACACGAGGGCAGGCAAATGCCAAATCTCAAAATCTTGGTGAACAGGGAAAATAAATAAATAAATTAATCCTGAACATCATTAATCGCTAACAAGAGAAAATAAGATACCCATTCACAGTGCTGCCTTCCCAGCTGTCACGAGGGCTCCCGCAGCAGGGACACAGATGCCTTCCCCAAGATTTCTTCCCCCAGAAGTTTTAAAAGCAGTTACCTGGAATTCCTCCGATGAATCCAACCGATGAGCCGGCTGGGAAACCAGCATTTGCTCCCGCAGGCAGGTTTGGTACATCAGCAGGAAAGGGGAACACAGCCTTCCCCGAGCCAGGCAGCTTCCTCATTCTTTCACAAGAGCCACCGTGGCTGCAGCCTGCCTGTGCTTTATGAAAATTGCTGCCTTTTGTCCAGCCTTCAAAGCAAATAGGACAGGTGAGATAAGATCTGAACACCGCAGCGCCTGTCCTTTTTGCTTAAAGCCAGCCTGGGCTTCCACCGGTGGCAAAACACTCAAAGGACCTCATTTAAAAGCAAACAGAAGATAAAATTAAAAAAAAAAAGGGGGGGGGGGGGAAGACAAGGCATTAAAAGCTGCTCCCCTTCCAGCAACGTGTCTCAACAGTTAGTCACAGGGAGCGTTTCCATCAGGTTACAGGCTGATGATACACATTTTGCTTTGTCTTACGAGGGTGAGGGGGGAAGAGATTAGACTGTATTAGCATATTCGCGATCAAAGCTTGATTATGACATCTAGTTCCAAAGAATAAGAGAATAAGAAATGTATTTCCTGTGGCTCAGGAGACAGACCAGCGGATACGGCAGCGCTGACAGTCTCACATAACACACATAACACATCTTGCCACGATAACATCTGCCTCTGGAACAATCGGTTCGATTTCAGGAGGTGTTTGTACAAAGCACAACAGTCCTCTTCCTGCAGCGTGGGCCATTTCCAGAGTCTACGCCGAACATACACCGTGGGACATCTTTTCAAACAGCCAGGGATGTGTAGTAAAACAGCCACAGGAACGTGTTTGTCTCGCTGCTTGTGAGCTAGATACATGTTTTCGTTGAACAAGTGAAAACATTTTCCTTTCCTGCAAGCGGTATCCGACTCACACTTAGGAAAGGCTATTGACCAAGCACCAGTCCCTTTTGTAACCCCCATCACACTTTGCTACCGCACAGCAGGGAGACCAACCCAACCCTTCAAATCTTCACCTCCTCCTTAGGACAGGGAGCTCAACCTCAGACCTTGCCTCGTGGCATCCAAACCACAGGGAAGTCCTCAGCAGGACCCAGCTGAAGGTGTCCTGGTTCTATCCACTGCTTCAGAACAGGATTTCAGCCACATCCCGTCTCTCCCCAAGAGGAAAAACTTGTGCTTGTTTAAACAGAAGCAGAGGTAGAACAAGAGGTTTTGACAATCCCACCCCTCGTGTTTTAAAATAAGAACACCAAAGAAAAAGCAGGAACTTGGAGAGAGGCTGGTCATTTGGATCTTAAAATAAATCAACCAGAAAAAAAAAAAATCAACAAAAAATCATTTTTGGATAGGAAGAGAAGGAAATCTAGAGAAACCGTTGCAGGTTGAGGCCATGTTTAACTACACTGTGACAAACAACCATGAGGAACGAGGCAACAAGACTGTACTAGTCTGATATAAAGCTTCATTACCCAATAAACTTATTCTTAGAACCAAACGTTAATTAGAAAGACAGACAGAAGCAAAACTAGACTGTATCTAGGCTCCTTGATTCAACACGCTCAGATTGCTTGCCTTCAACGTGGAGGGATACCTTTTAGACCTATTTAAGTAGACACTGTATGAACCAGTTGAAAATCAGATCTGTTTATAAAACCCCACCAGACTGCATAAAATTACCAAGGTATTTCACCCTCCTCTTCTTTTGTACACTCAAACTCTTTTAGAACTTTCATTCTGACTCATCAGCGTGCTTCCAGTCTTTTTGACAAATCATTACATGCATTTGTTTTTGACCTTGGGTTTAACATACCCAAGCAGCAGCTGTGGTTGTGTGCCCACAGAGAGAGGGAATCACCCCAGCGTTTGGGAATACTGCTTTAACACCTTCTCTGGAGCTGTGTCATGCTAAACCACTGCAAAACAAGTGACACACGAGCATGGTACATCATCCTCAGCCCTTTGCATTTTACTGTGCCGACAGAATGACATTTCCAAACCACTAACCTTACATTTTATGTATTTGACCTTAAAATTGCTCATCTGAGGACAAGACTGATTTTTTTTTTTTGAAAGGTAATTCCATAAATTGTTAAAAAGTAATCTCTCTAAAGATTAGAAAAGCTTAGTCAAAACTTTGTGATACGAACAGTAGCGAGAAGCAGAAGTAGTTCTGGTTTTGAAGGAAGAGCAACATTCACTACAAGGGGGGTGGCATCCACGAGGACAGCTGTAACTGACAGTTTGCAGTTCTTCCAAGGAATCTCACAAAAAAGATGGCTTTGGGACACATCACTCTTTGCAATGTGACATGCCACTCCTTTTTAATCAGTCGGGTTTCCACGCAAGGTACTGAATATTATTCTATTTACATTCAAAAATAGCATTTTTCCTCTCTTCAGTACATAGTGGGAATGCCCGTTAATTAGTCAGTAGAAACCCCTCTAACACAGGTGGAGGACAGCTTTGTTGATCTCTGGGTTTGTCCAGTCGTTCCGGATATCATCCAGGTGATTATCAAAATCTACAAGCGTCTCGTAGGACTTGCTGTCCAAGAGAGATGCAGCGATTCTCTGGGCTTCGGTCCAATCTTCACAAAAATCACTAGGACGGTAAAATAACCAGGAATTAAAAGTAAATCACAGAGAAAATCTCCACCACCTCCTCTCCTCTGGAAATTAAGCCACACTCTCTGCAACATGGTCATGGTGATTGTATACCACTGCCTGGCTGCAGAAACTGACTGTTCTCTCTCACTACAGCAAAAAACAGCTTTAAAAGCACTGTCAGGTAAACCCACTGCCCTTACAGTGTCACTCATCACAAAGTTTTGCCCTTAACCAGGCAATCTGTTTTTCCTTTACCACCGGAACACAAATAAACTCTGAAATTTACTCACACGTGCGGGTCCTTGCACCTCCACTTGTTCTCATGAAGCTCATACACATGAATGGCAGGCTCTACACACTCCGTTGTAAACTTGGTGTTATCAACCTGATACGCGACAGAAAAACACTACCTTAGTCTCCTCCTCGAGGTCCCAAGTAGAGAGATGAAACCATAACAAAAAGAAAGGCTGTTTTTTACAAACAGGGCACCTTACACTAACTTCTCCACTGTTCTGCCTTCAAATGAGCCAAATTACGGGTTTAAACTGCCAACATCCTTTGTCACTGTGTCAAGGAGGCAAAGCATCGTCTGCTTCATATAAGACAAAAGTTTAAGTCACAGAAGGGGGTCAAAAGTCATTAAAACAGTGCCTTTGCTCAAGCCTCGTAAGCTGAGAAGGCCCTCACTTCCTTTGAAATGGCAGAGAGCTAACCACAGTCTCTTGGTAGTTTTACTAAGAACTTCACTGGCTACAGGTCAGCGCATCTCCTCCCCAGAGCATTTGGAGGGAAAGAGAAGATGAGTTACTTCACCATCAAAGAATCCAGAGAACGGCCAGTCCAACACCAGGGTCATGACATTAACAATACAGAAAGAGGAGGGGAAAAATGAAGTAATTTACCATTATGAGCGCTGTATCGTTAAAGCCCTCTGCAATTCTGGAGGCCACCTTTTCCGCAACCTGGTTTGGACTGCAGCACAAGGTAAACAGAGCTGTGTTACTCGAGCCGTGACAACTCAGCTGAAAGCAGCAGGAAATATGCTTAAAGAGATGTGAAAATTACAGTGCGTGCTTGCAAACAGGAACAAGATACCGAGCTGATGCTACACTTGATTGAAGTCAGGCGGCCAAGAAAACCCCAGCTCCTCTCTTCAGCTCATGGTCTGGATCTCAGCTATGCTCAGGCAAAGGTTGCAATGAGCATTTTGCTGTTCAAAAACCCATTATGTGGAATCAACCTTTTGTGGCCTCCTACCTTCTTCCACCAGACCAAACTCTGCAGCTGCCTTTGCCCTGGCAGGCATTTAAAAAAGAAACCGAGTTTGCTCCCCAGTCTGCATTTGAACCCACTCACTGCCCAGCTTCTCTACCAAAATCAGATAACCTTTTAAAGGAAAACCTTTACCATGTTTCAAAGATGACAATCTCTACATGGTGCCACTTATCTTCATGAACAAAATCGGGAGTTTAAACAAAACAAACCAAGCCTTTACAGGCTTATTCTTTCAAACCTCAAATAGAAAAGACAAACTGTTATCTTCTCCTTAAAAATATCTCCAGCAGATTTATTCCCTTTAAGGATGGGACAAATAATGCCTTTATCCCTGTTAAGACACCTTAGCACTCACACGTATTACTCAAAAAACAGGAGATCAAAGGATATACTTCAACAAAATAATTGGGACATAGCATAATATTTTAAATAGGCTGTTCATATTTATTTTAAATGCAAATATAATGTACTCTCATTAGTCCTGACACTGGATTTGTCCAATAGACATGGGGAAAATATTTTATACAAATATCTAAAACTATATTGTGGCTCCACAGGAAGGCCCCCTTATTACTTATTGAGTAATTTGACTTAGCTAGCAGGGGAAAAAAATAATGACTAATCCCAGAGAAAATAAGTGAAAAAAAAAGATATCTCTGCTTGATTGACATCATCTTCCATTTCAAAAGTGTCCCTTCACCATTGAAAAAAATACTTCAATAAAACTTGGAGACAATTAAGTAGTTTTGTAAGAATTAGGTCACTTCTGAAAGACTTTCCAAAAGATACTCATTCGAGTTTACAAGATACGTACCGTGCAAACAAACATGCCTGCAAATTTTGGCTATTTCCCTGACAACTGTAATTAAACTGGTTGGCAGTTGTTCAAAGACTATCCACTAAAGAGGAGTGATTCTGGAAAGACTGGGGTTTCTGCACCTGAACAAAGGCCGTATCCACCAGCACCACGAAGACAATGTGAAACCAGATGACAGTTGTCAAAGTTAATCAACACGCACGATTTATGTCGATGATTTGTGTTGGCAGAGTACAAAGTACAACATAAAAGAGCAAACAGAAGGAAATATTGCACCAACACACCTGGCATCTTTCACGCGTTCATTTGCCTGGTAATATCCAGCTATCACGTAGCTATTCTCTTTGCACCAAGAGTCAATCTGAAAAAGTAATTGGAACAATTAAGCCCAGGAAAGAAAAAAAGAAAAAAACCCCACAGAACTAAAGAAATCTCATGTGTGTCCTGCAAATAAAATGGCAATCGAAGCATTACAATATCTTTGCCAATTGCTTCTTTAAATGTATACATATTTATGTACCTTTATGTGTGCACTCATACACGGAGCGTGGCCAATTTAACTAGAACAGGGAAAGCAAATTGGACATTTGCAGAATGATGGAAACCATTAACCAAATGGAGCAAAAGAGCAAGAAGTTCTCTCAGTCAAAGCCTGGCCTAAATTTGAATGACAGGACTAGTGAAGAGCTTCAGCAACGCTGCCTGGGAGAGCAGACTAGGTCTTACCTATTGTATTTTCTGTTCATGTCCCTTTGACAGAGAGACGTTAGAAAACGTTCCCTGTGTGGATGTGTGACAGCACCGTCGTTTCCAAAAGAGCTTGCTGATTTTATTTCTAATGTAACATTTCTAGGTCAGAGTGGAAGCATATTTTTTTTTTTTTACCTTAATTAGCAAATAAAGCTTGATATGAAAGGCAAGTGCGAGGCAGAGAAAGTTTGTCCCATTTACCATTTTTTTCAACCCACTCAGTCACAACAAAGTCTTTTGTGATAAAATTGTTTTTCTTTGAGGGTTCACCTGCACACCACCTATCAAACAATGCGTGGGTGGATTCTCCACTCTTTAAAATCTTTCAATCAAACCTGAAAACTTTTCTATAAAATGCTCTCCAGCTCAGCCACAAGATCAGGGCTTGATAAAAGAACTATTGACATAAATCCTCTCATCTCTGTTATAGACACGGGCAGACCAGGCAGCTCCTCCTTATTTAACACCTGTATGTAAATACTTAAACATATGCATTTATTTGCATGCAATTTACACAACTTTTGAGCTACACAAGCGTGAAAGCTTATGTAGTTTTATAAGTACAGTTTCACCATGTGCACACTGCAGTTCTTTCTGCTGGACCTGAATTCCTCCTGCTGAGTCTGTCTTGCTTTGAAAAAAAGAAAAAAATCCAAATGTGTGTATATATATAGATATATGACGTTTTTCCTTATAACTGAAGCTATCAAGTCAGCATAATACAGAGGCCTGAAAGACAGAAGTGGAGAAAGCAGCTAGAATTTTCCTACGTAGTCCCTAGAGAGCATGCATCAAAAAAACCTCAAGAGCTATATTAAAACGGAGTCCAGAAATACATCTGATGCTGACCTGTCGCATCCTGGAAATCAAATCGATCTGATTTTTAGCAATAATTATAGTATTAGAGTGCATAAACAACAAAAAAAGCCATGTGAATAATCCCTCCTCTACAAGGGATGACATGGATTTATGTGATTAAAAAAAAAAAGCAGCTGTGTAGCCCTGCTATAGCTGAGGGCCAACTGCTGTTTCAATTACAAACCCATTTTGAGGGCTTGGGACTAGGGTTTTAATTGTTAGTGGCTTGAAAGCTTGGCATGATAGCCAGAAGCCCAGACACTAAAATGAATAATAATAAAAATTAAAAACCTTACTACCTTAGTTCTAAATTAATTTTTGTTGTGCTTTAAAAGAAAAAGAGAAACTATGATTTTTAAGTTCTCAGTTCCCTAAATGGCAATTAAAAACTGCTTCCATAAGAAAAAAAAAAAAAAAAGAATAATTAAAAAAATACTTTTCTTTTTTAAGCTGTTTCCACCTGCAATTTCCAAACACTCTCTAACCACGGCACCACCACCACAGGTAGCCTGAGCATCCATTAGCCCCTGATATTTTTAGTCACGTCCTGCCCTGACAAGGGCAAGTCAACAGGAGACAAACCGTGTCTGGCTTCCACCTGGAGCATGTCACCCCTAAAAAATCAGGGGTGGCCTGTCCTCTGATCCTCTGCAGCCACCAAAGGCAGGTGGCAGAGGGGTTCAGAAGATCCCCGGGAGGAGAATGGCTGTAACCTGCTGACACCTGGCTGGCTGTTCCAGGCGGTGAGGAGGCAGCCATGTGAACAGAGGGGGAAGTGCAGCTTGGTTTTGTTGTTTTTTTTTTTTTTTTTGAGAAGATGTGGTTGCAAAACCACATCAATTAGCCGAGAAATTCAAAGGGCACAAAAAAAAACCCCATGTGAAACTTAATTCACTTTTTCTTTAATGACTCCGTTTTTTGAAAGGGATTTCAAACCGTCAAGCCAAAGTGCAAATTAAATGCAGGCACTTCCGCTCTCTGCTCTGGAGCTACAAACCCTCAAGCGCTGCCGAGCGTTTAATAAAAACCTAATTTTGTTGATTCCTTGCACCCAGGCTGCTGCTGAAGCACCGCTCACAATTTTTAGAAGTTATCACACGGACAAGCCCGCTTGAAAGCGCACCCTCTATTTTCCAATTAAATCTGGAGACCACTTCTCCCATCAGATGCTCTGGGATAACTCAGGTCAGAGAAGAGGAGGTGAAACTCATGAGGCTGGTTCTAAAAAACCCCCCCACGTACCACCAGTCCACAGGTTTGACCAAGAACCAGCAGTAACCAAACTGGAAGAGAAACAGATCCCATCAAAACCTGCCAAAGCTTCAACAACCTTTAGAAACAGAGGCACTTCGCTACAAACATCCAGTTTCAACCACGCTAATCTTGCTGATTTATTCAGAAACCACACGTTATATTGTACAGAACAGGCCAGAGTGCCCTCCTTCTAACCATTACAACAATAAAATCCAATTTTCATAGCTGCCGCGCCAGTATTTATTGACACCTTTGCCTTTGTTTAAACAAAAAAATAACACAAACGAGAGCAAAAGGCCTTGGGTTCTTGTCAAACGCTGTGTTTTAAAGCTGCCAAGTATCACAGGAGTCATCAAATGTGACTGCAAACCACAACACATCTTAGCACATCCTAATTAATGTGGGAAATGCCAGGGGTTCCTGATCTTTAACTTTTTTTGTATCAAAACCCAAGAGCAAATACGTAGGACAATGCCATTTCTTTTGCTCCATTATTACTTGCTTACTGTAGATATTTCAGATGTTGCAAGAAACAGGATTTATTTCCTAATAATCTGATTCTGTAGCAAGAGCTACACCAGAGAGTTACACTGAAAGCCTAAAGTTCAGGAAAACTCCCTGCCACCGACCCTGTAGAAAGACATCTAATCCTGATTTAAAGACAAACCCTACATATACTTTAAACATATGTGTTATTACATATATATATATGTATATATACATACATATGAGTTTGTGTTACTCCTGCACTGTTATACTGGTGTAAATTTTGCATGCTCCACAGCAGTATGGCAAACCCAAATGCCCAGGGCTCAGGCTCAGCCCCAGTTTCTATGCCTCTGGCTGCATTTCCTCCTATCAAGGCTTCAGAAAGATCGCAATATTTCCCAACTGGAAAAAAAAAACCCTGGAAATTATTTACAAATAATTATTTTTTTGATGAAGCAATCTATTAAACTGAGGAAACATTTAGGCCAAGAAGTCTAGAAGAATCAGAAAACAGTCGATTTTACAGGTATCAAGAAAGGATGGATTTTCTCCTTGTAATAATGACAAGTCTTTAAATGGATGGAGAAGTCCAGAGCTCAGATCATGCCCAAATCTCACTTTAGTGGCAGTTATGTCTACTGTGAAGGTGCCAAAGCACTTCGCCTCCAGATTTGCACCAGGCCACCCTCATTCTCTGTTACAACAAAATCCAAGCGCATTTCCCTCCCTGTGTCTTCACTTTTTGACAAAGGGACTGTCCCCACATGCCAGGCAGAAAGGAGCCATGGCCCAATGCAGGATGGTTCCTGGTTTTCATGACCAGGGGATTGAAGCAGGAAAGCACCAGCCCTACAGTCCTGACACTGTTCTCATCCTGCCTGTGCACTGATGGAGGTGGGGGGGAAACGGGTCACCCCACAACGATGTACTGCTCTTCCACAGTGGTGGGCAACGTAGGGGATATGGTCACAGGGAGTGCTTGGCTGCCCCCAGCTATCCCACGGCTCATTACACAACAGCAAGCTTGCAATACACTAAGTGAGATTTCAAACCCAAGCCAGACCTCCAGTGTGAAAAGACTTCATTTTTTTTCCTATTTAGGCTAATAGCTTACATAAATGGGGAAAACACACCGAAATTAATTAAGAAATACATACTTATAAGCATCTATACACTCTTACTTGGGGACAAGCATGCCCTTTACCAATTAGCTGACACTGCTTTGAAGTGCCTTAAAGGTAAGCTGGGAGAAGCTCCTTCTGCTGTAGAATAAGGATGTTCCCTCTGGGAGTTATTCTGGGATAATGATACCAATATAAATAGCAGTGTTTATGCACTGAAAAAGAAATTAAAGAAAACTATGCAGCTCTGTAGCTTTCTGCTGCTTCCCCTGCAGCAGGCTGTACAGCAGATGGGCCTTGGGGGTTTCTCCACTCTAGAAACGCTCTGCTCACCCCACAGATTTACCTGCAACTGGCGCAGAGTTACCCCAGCGCCCCATCCCCTCAGCACCAGTCCTTCCTCACCCCGGTAGCACACCCCGAGCTCTGCCAGGACCCGGAGAGGGCCCGTACCGCCACCAGCCCTTCGCTCCCCGGCCTAGAGAAAGGCTTAGGGCCTTACCAGGGTGAGGGCCACCTCCAGCATGGGCGCCAGGGCCAGGGTACCGTGGAAGAGCGGGATGCAGTCGACGAAGAGCGAGGGGGGCCCAGCCTGGTCACGGCGCGGGGCGCCCGACGGCCGCTCGGCCACCAGCAGCCCGTTCACAGCGCAGTGCGGGTACTTAGCACCGTGCAGCACCATTTTGCAATAGGCCTGCGTGGTCAGCTTCATCCTGCCGCCGACACACAGCCCCGTGGCCGCCTCTCACCGGCCCCTGTCCCACTCCCCCCGCCTCCCCTCAGAGCCGCCCCCGGCGCCCCCCCCAAACGGGGGGGGGGGGGGGGGGGGGGGGGGGCACGACAGTCCGCCCGCATCCCGTCATCCCCTGCGGCGGGGGGCCGCTCCTTTGCGGCTTCTCGCTCTCCCGGCGTGCACCGCGCTTCCGCTCGGCGGCTCCTTCCGGTCGCAGCCCGGCGTAGAGGACGGTCGCCAGGTCGTTGGGCCGCGGCGGGCGTTAGGGCCGGGAGGGGGGTGCAGAGGGCACCGAGGGTACCCACTCCCTACCACTTGGCTAAGGGAAGCCCTCTCCGCCACCTCCACCCTCCCTCGGGGGCGAT